AGATAAATTGCTTCTGATAGACAACACATTAGGGAGAAATGGCTATCGACAAAGCTTCATCAAAATCCGGATTGTTGAATTTACGATTTTTTTAAACAGGCCCGAAAGAGATACTTTGTATAAGCAAGATTTAATTCAACAAAACTGGTTATTTTTGTGTGACATATAAATGATATGAAACCCATTCCAAAATGTTTATTTGATTGAACAGAACGCGAAACAAAGTGCCATCGGTATTTTAAACCTCTAGCTTATTTGACCGGATTGAAAAATGGATGCATTTTGTAACTTCTTTAAGTGAAAAACTGTTCCATTTTTAACTCAGTTATTAAACTAATATAAATGGAATTTTCGCGGATCGTGGATGACTTTAGCAGGGCCCCGGGGTGTTCATAGGAGACTGGAAGTTCACACTTCTGCCTGCACCCGTTTGGAATTTGTTTTGTACCCTTATTGACTGAAAAGCGGTACAAGCGGTCCGACAGGTATGTTGACAACGCTCGTGACACGGACATTTAATAATGATAAGGTAGCCTGTGTTTGATAGAGATGAATTCCAACACGTGACATGTGTTTGTCTGACCGATTCAAAGCATTTTTCAAAGCCATCAAATACTCTCGTGGAACAAGTTATCCAAAAAAGGATATGTGTAAAGTGGCCATAGGTCTTGTAGCCTAGTGGTAAGCTCAGCTGTGTGTGATGCTTTTTCGGGACAATGGGTTGCGCGATGTCATGTATGGACAGAATACATAATTGTCCTAACCGTTTTGAACATTTTGTTGTCTTCCTTTAGTTGGAGTGGATAATGTATTTCGATTTTCTTTGGTAAAACGTTTTCACTGGAACGGAAAATTTTAAATTAGTTCATGAGACAGTGAAATGGACTCAATATTCCTAATCGATTTTATGAAAGAACTTCGCTTGGATTGAACTGTCTTTGTTCGTCCAACCGCTACCATCGATTAGGCTCCGGCGCTTAATATTTCTTTCCCGGGCCTAAATAAAACGTTCAACCATGTTCTTGATCTTCCCACTATTCTTTCTTCCATTTTATTTTCATGACCACGCAAACATTTATTTTAAAATTTTTGGTTACATTTTGACTGTATAGTGACTCATTGCTACTATCTCAGGCCGGTTTTCTTTCCGATTTAAGACCTTATTGTTCAAACATGCCGTATGGTATTTTTGGTTTCATTTAGATCAGTGCTTTCCCTTAGGGCCGTACTATGGCCACCCAGAGCGGGTGATGTGTTCTTTGATCGATGGGATACAGTTCTCAAGGCCTTTGGTTTCCGTTGGATTGGATCAATCACATTTTTGCTCCATAAACATGGTTCACAGCTAAATTTGCCGCTTCCCGGGTGAAATGAGAAGAGTAGCGTTGTTGCTTTTTTCATCTCAGAGTATAGATTTCCAAGGTTTTCGAACAACTAACTGAAAGATCTGAGTCAGAGTAGAAACATACTGCAATGTCGTAGGGTTTTCCTTACAAAGAAAAATATATTTTACATGGGAAGAAAGCGAGATCGGTAGCTATTGAATCATCCATCAGTGTCGGACTGTTCATCCTCCCGCCAATTTCATGTTTTCCGCTTTCAGTACAGTTGTCTCCCTCTATTTTATCCGTGATAGGTCGAAATGAGAACCTCATGCACAAATGATGAAACACCGCCTGAGTTGAAGTTACTTGTCAGGAATGTACCGGGATCTCACGATTCACAAAGAAAACAAAATATAGCCAACAGGTTTGTTCTTTTTTCATCAAAAAGATTGGGTTTATTTGCATTACTGCTGGCAAAGAGAGAAATACCCTTTAAATACTCCCATGGGGATTGTAAAAATTCTAAATTTAAAAGTCGGTGAATGCTTGTTTTAGTTTGTCTGTGTCTGATATGTTGATATTGAAAGATTAAGCACTTTCTAATCCGTGTAGTTCTTATTCCTTTCATGATGCTGTTTATTTGATTTTAGTTGGTTTAATAATTATTTTATTAAATAAGTCGGTTTTAAGTTAACTATATTCATTCATGGTAATATGCTGGCATATGTCAAATGTTGGAGAATATATAGTCATTCATACTTTCTAAAATTGATTTCTCATTCTGTCACGCGATTTGGGTTGAGTTCGAATCAATTCTTACAGACGAAATCGTACACATTTAAAACACTACTCTCTCTCTTATGAAATGGCTTATAGTCATTTCCACCGACACCTTCCCTATCCAATTCATTCTCGATTCAGTTTAAAATTATTGATTTTTCGTGCGACGCGTACGCGTAATCATAGATGTTTTCTCACTCACAGTTCCACGGTCTCTTATCCGTTGACAAAGAAATCGCCCTGCTCGGGCCAGACCGCCCCTGAGTTTGTTCGCTTACGCGTTTAGCATCAGGATTTTTC